CGGCCCGGTCCGGGTCGCCCCTGGACTCGCCCCGCCATGGGCACCGACCCCGGGGATGCCGTGAGCCCCGGCGGGGCCCCGCTCGCCCGCTCGGCACCGGGACCGGCCGCGGGCCTCTGCCTCCGCCGGCGGAGTTGTTGGAAGTTGGCGGTGGCCACCGTGAGGCGGGCTGCTCGCCGCTTCCCCGCCCGGCGGGACCCCTGACGGCCCCCGCCCCGGAGACTCTCTCGGTTTGTCGGGAGGTTATTTTTCGGTGTGTTTTCTTTTTATTCTTCTTTTTCCCTTCCGTCCCGCCCGAGCCGCAGCCGGGGCGGATGGCCGGCGGTGGGCGCAGCCGGCCTCGCCGCCTCGGCCCCGGGAAGATGCTGGCCCTGGGGCTGCTGGCCGGCCTCTCGGTCCTCAGCCTCCTGACTTACGGCTACCTGTCCTGGGACAGCCTCCGGCTCGGCCCCGGGGAGGCGGAGGCGGCGAGGAGCGGGCTGGGAGAGGGGCCGGGGGCCGGCGACCCCGGCTCGCAGCCCCACATCGTCTTCATCCTGGCTGACGATCAGGGATTCCGAGACGTAGGGTACCACGGATCGGAGATCAGGACACCCACTCTGGACAAGCTAGCTGCTGAAGGGGTTAAACTGGAGAACTATTATGTTCAGCCTATGTGCACACCATCCAGAAGCCAATTTATCACTGGAAAGTAAGTTTGCTGCTACTTCATCGTTCCCCTCGCCGGCTTAAACGCTGCTGAAAAGAGCACAAACCTGGGCTGCGGACACCTCTGTCTTAGCCCGTAGCCTTTCTGATGCGCTTAAAAACCTTGAGCAAAACAGACTTTTCTAATATGTTTGAGATAGCAAAGTAAAACCTGGCGCTCGGCGAGCCAATAAGGATTCAGCACTGTGAGCTGCCCCCGCGGAGGGCTATAGTACGTTTACATTTACCGCAGTAGTAACATAGGTGCTAGTTGTCAAGTAATGCTGCTGTCACTGGGAAGCGGTCTGCTTAGATGCTCTGTGCAATTTTAGAGTCACTTCCAGGAGGAATCGGTGTCGGGGAACCGAAAGCGTTGCGTTTCCTCTGGTGCATTCATTGCAGCCGGCACCTTGGATCACAGGTCTCACTGAACCTTGCCTTAATGCGAGTTCTCTCGGAGGGTTATATTGAGTCTGTGAGATGATTTCCCAGTGTGTCACCTGGGGATGAGCGCGGGGAACCCAGGCTCTGGGTCAGGAACCCATAAGCTGCAGTATGGCTCTTGGCACGATGCAGTTGTCGCTTTGCAAACGATTAGAAACTTTTATGCCACTGAAATAGGTGCCTCACCAAAATGGTGAAAGCAGTGGGTTGGTATTGCCATGTGCGGTGAATTGTGTTTTATTGTGGTCTATTAAGTAATTAACCAATTACCCAACCTAAGGGCTTTCTTACATGTGAAGGTTACTAAGGATTAAGCTGGGGGGGAGTTGTGCATTTGAACTGTAGGAACGGTTCCCAAGTAACTCCAAGTGTGGCCACATTTACTCTGGAACAAAACCACCTTGTTTCTGTTTAGCTTAACTCACTTTGACAGGAACAGAGAACTCTTAAAAGAGCGAAAACAAAATGAGAGGAAAAAAGTTACTTAGTTTATTTTCTCCTTTCCTTCAGTATAAACAGGAACAAGGCAATGTTAATATTGCTGGTAAAAGAAACACATGTTTAAATAAAACAAGCAACTGGCCTGGTGTCTTGCATCTCCATATGGTAGAGCTGGAGATAATTCCTGGTCTCGGCCTAGTTCCCAGATTACTTGGTGGACCAGGGAGATTTTTATGGAGACCTGACGCGTTATCTACAGCAAGACTTCCCCACGTGAGTGGTTTTTTTTACTTTTTTCTTTACGTGGAGTGTGCCATAGAAGAGGAGTTATTTGGAGACACCCACTCACTCATTCACAAGAACATAGTCGCCCTGTGGGAACTAAAGGAACAGCTTGGGAGGGAAACTGCATCAGGGTAGGGTTTAACGCATCTTGGTTGTCTTTAAAGCCGTGCAGCAGTTGGAAGGAAGGACCTGGGCCAGCAGCGTGCAGCCAGCCAGCTTTCTGAGGACGGTGGTTTGGGAAGCAGTGCTTTGCAAAGGGAATGTCATGCTGCACAGCAGTGACTCACGCAGCGGCTGGAGGAACGGGACGATGGGATTCCAGGGGAACCGGGGTGCTGTGTTGGCTCTGGGAGGCTGCAGAGGTTGCCTAACCACAATAAAAAATAAGAGTGAAGTAAGGAATAACAGTAACTCTGTTTAACTGTTTTTATCTTTTATTAAATACAGAGCAGTTTGCATGTAAATATATACGAATAGTAAAAGGTAGGCATGTTCTGTGGAACCCTGCTCTTTTCATCAGCTCGTCAGGCGGAAATGGTTCTGCAAATCTGCCTACTTTGGTTTTGGAACCTTTTATAGGAAAAAAAGAAATTTGCTTATACTTCGTTTTTATTTTCTTAGTCTGCTGGTCTGAAACCCTTAGAATGTTTTTTTTCATGTTGTTCTACTTTGGGAAAAAGGAGCAGCAGAGAGAACCGATTGCCTCGCATGACTGAGAAATAAGGGAGGGAACAGTGAGGGGTTAATAGGCTTGGGGAGAGTATTAACGAGGCAGATTCAGAGGTTACTATTATCCATGTTGGCTGAAGATAAATGCTAGTGATAACTACTTTTAATGCTTTCTTAGCCGAGGCACCTTAATTAAAATGGCAGGACTCAGAAACTTCTGATCCAGGAGAAGCAGTGGTATTTCTTGAATTCCAAAATGAGTTTCTTCAAGGCCAAAAGCCTGCTCATCCACTGAAAGGTGACCTGGATGCTCCATGCCCAACTTGTTCCAACCATGACCTGATTGATCTACAAAACACAGAGGGACTTATGTAAACCAGACTCATTGGGGAGCACTGACTCACTTTGCCAAGTGGAAGTTAGACTTAAGTCAAAGAGACTCGTAATGCTCCAAATTCTTTGTAGGTTTCCAGGCAGTCCCTCTAAGGCTCGTGCAAGTAAAGAGACCCTTCTTTTGGTAGCCGTCCTGTGCCAGTGAATGAGCATGGGGAAGGTGGTTGGAGGTGACTTGTTAAAAAGTAGAATTAGCTCTTTTTTCCCCTTTCATGCCATACCACACCACAGCATAGCAGCTGGTGAGCTTGTCCTTCTGACCTCCTACTTCCCTCCGTTTACTTTCTCTCTAAAGCCTCAGGGCTTGAGGCTTTAGCCTAATTTATTTTCTTGCTCTCCACCAGCCTTACCTCTTTCCCCACCCATCCTATCAAAAGCTGTTGCTTTTAGGCTAATAGTAAGGCTGGCTTCCACAGCTTTTGATTTTGGGCTTTATTTGTGGGTTTGGGAAGGGGGCTGCAGCTGAGCTGAATCTTGGTAACGGGGAAGGAAAAGGTGTGAGCCAGGGGGCTGAGTGCCACGTGTGATGTGCTCTGCCTGCTGGGAGGTAAGGGATGGGGTTTTGGGGATGTAGCTCAGCCAGGGCTCTTACAGCCGGATTGAAAATTTGATAATTGTTGGGCTTTGGAAATTCATCCCTGGTGTTGCTTGTGCTGGTTTGAGCAGGCCAGTGGCCTGAATATACTCAAGAGGTTATTGACCTGCTGATAATTTCTAGAAAGATTGTAGGTATGTTTGGCTTTTGGGGTGTTTTTTTTGTCTCTTAAAGGATGTGACTGAGCATTAGTTGTTTTCCAGAACAATTGCATTGCGTGATACACTACTTTTTTGTTGTCTTTTTCTTGCAAGCAATAGGCATGCCTCAATAAACTAAGTAATTTTAGCTCAGGATGCCTAGCTTTAAGCTAGTGCTGAGGCGAAACCTGTCCTACACAGGCACTAAGTTAGGTGAGAAGAAATTTGCATGTGTGCATACATCAGCCATGCTGGAGTATCCTTAGGATACAGAGAGGCCTGAATGTGGTACGGAACACAGCTAAACTAAAAGACTACTTTGTAACTCGTCCATGAAAGAAATGAAAAGTAAACATTCTTCTACTCTTTTTGTTATTGTAGTTTACATAGAGAAAGATTTAAAAAAAAATAGCATCTCAGACTTCAAGTCTTCAAGTTCTTCCCTCTAGGAAATGGGGTTAAGAACAGACAGGATACTCAGCTGGCGCCCAGCAGCCGGCTGGCCAAGCACTTATTGAGTTAGTTCTTGTATCTGGGTGCTTAATAGCCTTGATGATTTTTCATTGTATCAATAATCTTGTAGAGCCGTTTGGCAGTGCGGCCTAAGATGATCTTGATTTATGGAACAATACAGGTCACGTCATGTACTAAGAAAATCTAAGATTATTTGTGTGTGAAGTTTTCTGCACGTGCGTGTTCGAGAGTTGATTGAGTATGAGATCGATTTGTTACAGTCACATGTGGTATTGCTTATTTAGATAATTTGTTACTTTTTCTTATCATGAATAGTCATCTCCTTTTTAAATGAAGAATTATTGAAGCATAGTCAGTGTGTGGACAGTTTCCCAGAGTTTTTTAAGAAATTTTGAAAGGTTGTGACCAAAAGCAGTATTCCTTTGAGCTGGTGAGACAAAAAGACTGCAAGCTTAGATGAACATCTGTTGGGATAGCTGACCCAATTCTATAGAGGGTATTATGCAATGTAGTTGTATTTGCTGGAGCAATACTTAATTTAGCAAAGGAATTTGAGAAATAAGACTGACTGATTAGAAAAGAAGAAATCTAGGCATAATATGCCATAAATGTTTTTGTTGCTACGTAGGCAGCGGGTGCCTGCTTCCTCTTCAGGGCTCCCAGTTTTCTGCTGACCATCAGACTTAGGACCATTATGTGCATGGGAATCCCTTTGGGCTGTGGGAAGGTTCCTACACAAGAGTAGGTTTCTCTGTTTGTAGAAACTGATGTGCAGCGAGGGGTTACAGACCACTCAGGGATCTGAACTCCCTTGTACAGTGAATGCTTATGAATTGTGGAAGCCCAAAGCTAATCTCAAGAATGAGCTTTGCATGATGGATGGAATGTGGAGATGGAAGATGCTGAGAAATGGTGAAGGTCTGGGGAAAAAAATCGGGATTCTTTGCCTTGGGATAGAATGAAATACTGAGAATTTGCTCATCCAAAGCAGACAGAAATAGATTGTATAATCGGCAAGCATAATCAAAGTGTTCTTTTAATATAAACAATTATATCTGTTACCTAATTATGGAAATATTACACATGTATAAATATATACAGCTGTATCTATCTAGTTAGTATGTATTCTGTTGTTGGCATCCCTGTGTAGCAACACGTAGTTCACCATTAAAAATGACAGTGTCTCAGCAAACTAAGAGTTCTTTTGACAATTAGAAGTAGACTAGAGGAAAGTTAAAGTACTTTGAATTTAAAGCAGTGCAGCTGACTTGCAAGAAAACAGAAATATTGTGTTCTGGGGGCTCAGACTTCTTGCTAAGCCTGCTCTTCCCCTGCCTCCTGGGTGCTTAATGCTCCAAACTGCAGTTTCAGCAGTTTGGTTGCTCTGAGAAGGATCCAAGACAATGGTGAGTGACTGGGAAGTTCTCTTCTGCTCCCTGAGTTGAAATGAAGGGTCTCAGAGACTTGATGGGAATACTGGGAGATGTATGTAACACTCCATTATGTATATTCCCTATTTTGTAGTTAACAAAATATGAAGGACTGCAGAATATCAGCCTGAAG